AAGGGTGAGATCGATACCACAGTCCAGGGAGATAGGACTGTACATGAGTATGCCACAGAGCTGGAGCGGTTGTGGCTAGATTATGATCACTTCTTACCTCGGGCAAGCTGCAAGGACCCGAGATGTAAAGAACAGGAGGCCTTTCTACAGGAGAGGACTATGGTGTTTCTCAAAGGATTGACATCAGAGTTCGCTCAGAGAATCGCTCTGCTGCTAGCTTAGCCGAAGATTCCAACGCTTGAGAAGGCTGTCTCTGCTATGATCCAGGAGGAGACTCGCATTCGGCTACAAGCGGGGACAAGTGGACTTCCTGTGGTGAAGTCAGCACTGGCAGCCTCTAGCAACACTGGATCTAGGGGAGAGACTCGACAGTGCTACAACTGCGGTGCGGTGGGTCATCTAAGGCATGCTTGCACCAAGCCACCCAAGGAAGGAGATTCGGGTGGACGTGGATAGTTCAGAGGTCGTGGTCATGGCCGTGGGGGTCGAAGAGGTGGAAGAGGAGCAGAGAACCGGGCGAATCTGACGGTAGCAGAGGAAGAAGAAGCTGAGGTGGTCTTTACTGAGGAGGATCGTGCTCTCCTGGCGATACTCAGGAGGGAGCAGCAAGTAGCAGGGGATGGGATTGAGGAGACATCCACTTCGTTCTTCGGCAGAGGCAACACTGCTACCTATGCTCATCCGACCAAAGGTACTGATGACATACATGCTCTTGCTTCAATGTCTCCCGACAGATCATCAGCATGGATAGTCGACTCCGGTGCGTCTCGCCATGTGACATGTAATGCTAGTGAGTTCTCATCATATACTCATTTAGCATCGCCTGATAGTATTCAAACATCTGATGATACGTTTCAGCCGGTGGTTGGTAAGGGTACAGTCGATTGTACTGGCTCTGTAACTTTGTCTAATGTTTTGCATGCTCCTTCCTTTCCAGTCAATCTTTTGTCCATTAGTTCTATCATCTTCCAACTAAAATGCATTGTTTCTTTTGATATTCCCAAGGTGATTTTCCAGGAGAAGGGGACAGGGCGGAGACTTGGGACTGGCACATAGCGTAGTAGACTGTGGTATCTGGATCGTGAAGGGTTGGATTCAGCATTGGTGTCAGTCGTAGAGGAAGCATGAGTAGGATCTAAAATGAGTGCTGAGAGTGAGTTAATGCTTCATCACCAGTGTTTGGGACACTCATCTTTTAGTGTTTTAGGTAGATTGTATCCTTCTTTATTTGAGAAAGCAAATAAACAGAAACTTGTGTGTGATACATGTGAGTTTGGAAAGCTTACTAGAAGCTCTTATGTTAGTTCTGGTTATAGAAGTTCTCATGCATTTGACTTGGTACATTCAGATGTTTGGGGGCCTTGTTCCACAAGTTCTATGAATGTATACAAGTATTTCGTTACATTTATTGATTGTTTCTCTCATGTGACTTGGTTATACATGATGAAGAATAAGAGTGAAATGTTTGGGTGCTTCCAAAACTTTCATAGGAATGTTCAGACTTAATACGGAGCAGTGATGAAGGTATTGAGGTCGGATAATGGGACAGAGTATACCAACAGAGCGTTTGAAGAATATTTGTCAGCTCAGGGAATACATAACCAGACAACCTGTCCATACACACCAGCTCAGAATGGGGTAGCGGAAAGGAAGAACAGACATCTTTTAGAGGTTGCTAGAAGCATGATGATCTCTATGAATGTCCCAGAAACATTGTGGGGGCAAGCAGTATTGACCGCAGCAGCGCTGATCAACAGAATGCCCTCGAGAGTGCTGGATTGGAAGTCTCCGTATGAGACGTTGAAGGGAGATAATGATTGGATTCTTCCACTTAAAGTGTTTGGCTGTGTGTGCTTTGTGAAGGACAACAGGCCATCTGTCGGGAAACTTACCCCTAGAGCTATGAAGTGCATCTTTATGGGATATTCTGCTACTCAGAAGGGATATGTTTGCTGGAGCCCGATGGAGAAAAGGTTGTTTGTGAGCATGGATGTGCACTTTCGAGAACTCGAGCCATATTACACTCGATAGGTAAATTCATCCGTTGGTAACTCGCCCAATACTAGAAGTATGATGTGAGAGGAGGAGAATGGTGAGAGAACGGTGAATAATGTGGAGAAATCGATTTCTGTATCGATTCCTTGGGAGGGAGAATTGGTTGAGGAGGAGCAGGAGAATGTCTGTATCGATTCCTTGGGAGGGAGAATTGGTTGAGGAGGAGCAGGAGAATGAAGAAGAAAAGGAAAATGAGACAAGAGGTGTTAGGCCCACGGTTCAGGGGGAGCTACTAACCTATAGTAGGAAGGGGAAGCAAATGGCAGGAACAGTACCTACAGTGCCACTAGTGCTGCCAAGTCTCTTGCCAATGCCTGCCCCGACTCCTGAAACACCTACACCATCATCTGTTTCATTCCAAGGTGATAACATTCCTGTCCCTACTCCTCCCACACCAATATCAGTACGGAGGACTACTCGTAGTAATGTGGGAAATCCTCCCGATAGATATGGTTGAGATCTTACTCAGTTTGTATCATATTCTAATATCCACCCTGCACATGGGGTATTCATTGCATCATTGGACTCTGTTACTGTACCTAACAATTGGCAGGTTGCTAAGAAGGACCTAAAGTGGAAAGCGACTATGCATGAGGAGCTAGGGGCTCTTGAGAATAACCGCACTTGGGAGCTAGTAAAACTACCAGAAGGGAAGAGAGCAGTTGGATGCAAGTGAGTCTTCACTGTGAAGCAAAATCCAGATGGACAAGTTGAGCGCTACAAGGCTCATCTAGTGGCAAAAGGGTATAGTCAGACATATGGCATCGATTATGATGAGACTTTTGCACCGGTGGCAAAGATGAGCACTGTTCGGACCTTAATCTCTCTGGCAGTAAATGGTGGATGAAAGTTACACCAACTAGATGTGAATAATGCATTTCTTCATGGAGATCTAGCGGAGGAGGTATACATGGAGATATCACCAGGATTCGATACAGATCAGACAGTGGGTAATGTCTGCAGATTGAAGAAGTCTCTCTATGGGCTGAAGCAGTCTCCTCGTGCTTGGTTTGACAGATTCAGGAGGGCTATGATTGGTATGGGGCACCAGCAGATCAACGCTGACCATACTGTGTTCTTTCGACAAAGTGGAGGCCACATTACTATGCTGGCGGTATATGTGGATGATATGATTATTACAGGAGATGATGAGAAGGAGATTGCCCAACTCAAAGTGAGACTGGGTAAGGAATTCGAGGTGAAAGATCTTGGCTTGCTTCGATATTTTCTTAGGATAGAGATAGCTCGAGGAGCTGAGGGGATTGTTCTCTCCCAAAGAAAGTATGTACTGGATCTTCTCAAAGAAACAGGAATGTTAGGGTGTAAACCTGTAACTACACCGATCGATCAGAAGTTCAAACTGAGTGCTGAGGCTGGAGAGCCAGTTGATCGTGATAGATACCAGAGACTGGTGGGCGGTTGATCTATTTGAGTCACACACGTCCCGATATCTCTTTCGTAGTGAGCGTGGTAAGTCACTACATGCATGATCCGAGGAAGGGTCATATGGACGCAGTGTACCAGATTCTTAGGTATTTGAAGAGTGCCCCCGGAAAAGTACTGATATTCAGGAAGAATGAACATATGAGCATTGAGGGATATTGTTACTCAGATTGGGCTAGCTATGCTGATGACATGAGGTCCACCTCAGGATACTGTATCTTTATAGGAGGTAACTTGGTCTCGTGGAAGAGCAAGAAGCAGTCAGTGGTGGCGAGGTCAACAACTGAAGCAGAGTATAGAGCTATGGTCTTGGGAGTCACGGAATTGTTGTGGTTGAAGAGTATGTTGGTGGAGCTGAAACTGGATCAAGGAGCAAAGATGAAGCTGTGGTTTGATAACAAGTCAGCCATCAGTATCGCTAATAACCCAGTGCAGCATGATAGAACCAAACACATCGAGATCGATAGGTTCTTCATCAAAGAGAAGTTAGATAGTGGATTACTGGAGTTAAGTCATGTTTCAACTAAAGACCATGCAACAGATTGTCTGACTAAGGGACTTACCTCAGTAGATATGGTTAGAGGATGTGACAAGATGGGCTTAGTGGATATCTTTCACCCATCTTGAGAAGGAGTGTTGACATATTAGAATAGTTAAGGGGTTATTTGTAAGATGTATTTGTAGGGGGCCTATATAAGCCCATGTTATTTCATTAATAAGATTAGGGTTTCTATTCACAATTGTATGTATAAAAATAGAAAAGAAGCAGCAGCAGTTCAAAGCAAATATGTTCAATACAATTTAGAAGCACATGCATATGACTAAAGAAGAAACCTCCAAAGACCAAACATCGTATATAATAAAAATTAGACTTCTACTATTTGGAAAGCTAATGATGTGGGATCCGTTCCCGCTACCCACTTCATATTACTTATTCTCCATGTAAGACTAATTCTCATGCGAGCACGGAAAAAATACTTGTAAATAATAAAAAGAGAGAGTTTTGTTATGAGTTGGAACCAGTATGTTGGTGGGCTCGCGTAGACTACATTACTTTCACCGAGTTAAAAAAAGTGAGAGTGGTCGGTTTCGGTAGGCACCAATTTAAAGTCACTAAATCCAACCGAACCTGTTTGTTTCAAAAAGCGAGCTGAACTGCCTTAAATCGGCCAGTTCGATCGGTTTGTTCGGTGCAAACCACAGTTTGCTCAGCCCACTGCTAACCATGAAAGACTACCAGTCTGTTTGGATGGAGGGTAGAGAGGGGGAAGAGAAGAGAAATTTCATTTTAATCTTGATTGAGAGTTTCATTTAGAAGGGTAGAGGAGGGAAATGAAGGAAAAAATTGAGCCAAAATCTTACACCCCAATTTGGAGTGTAATGGAGGGGAAAGGAAAGGAAGAGGAATTTTCCCCCTTCCTTTCCTTCTCTATGAACTCCCGAACATGCCATATGAGGTATCTTGAGTGCTAATTAGAATACGGAGGGGTTGGATCCAAAATAGGACCGAATGAAAGAGTAAGCTTTATACAGCCGACCTAAAAAAATTGGTTAAAAACTTTGGTGCGGCTTATTGTTGTTAATAAAAGTTCCACTGGGAAGGAGGAAGAACGAGCAGCAAAACGGAAGTACTGGACTAAAATGAAAAAATCCAAGTGGAGGGCCATCGCTCGTCCAAGTACTTCCACGTCCTCCGCCTCCTGTTCCTAAATTCTCTTTTGGCTGTAAGTATTCTCCCCCCTCTGTTTCTACGCGCTTGAATTTTTTATTGTAAAATTTCATGTTTAATTGTAATGTTTTGACATTGGTATATGGCCTCAGCTAGCTATGTCCTGGGATTTTCCCTTCATCTCATGATTCTCATGGTCATTTTGACCGAGTATAAAATTTAGATTTAATTGCGAGTAGACCCCCTCGGTAATTTTTTTTAACACTTAAAATAGTTAAAAAAGTTTTGAGAAGACGGATAGATCCATTATAGTTTTACTGGGTAAGGTTAGATCCCAATTGCTATTTTTAAAAAGAGTCAGATAGAACTTACAGGGGGCCTATTCGCAGTTAACCCAAAAATTAAACCCTCAACCCATGAAAATACTTAGTTATACTTATCCTTTTGACAGGTTAAGCCAAACTTAGGAAATAGAAAAACTTTTTGCCCAGCTAACTTTTCCAGGGTAATAACAGCCTTGTTTAATTTTAACCACTTTTTCTTTTACCCGATACCAGACGAGCCGTTAGTATGTTATTGTAGAAACGACGAAAACATTGGAGAAGATCAGAAAATTTGATACAGACAGACATTTGGGTGCTTTCTGGTCGACCGCGAGCTTTGGCGTGGTCGACCGCAAACGTGCATTACTACATGGTGTTTTTCGGTTTTCTAGCCGGTCGACCGCGGCGTCAAGTGCGGTCGACCGTGGACTCTGTAATGTATTTTTTTGGTTTCTGCCGTTCTGTCCGGTCGACCGCGACGATTTTGGTGGTCAACTGCTAGTCGGGTTTAGGCCTGATTGCGGTTTTCTGTTCTGTTTGGGATTGCTGTTTGATATAAATAGCAACCATATTTTAGGGTTTTTTTGGAGCAGTCAAGGGTTTGTTTTGAGCACAGAAAAAAGATCTTTCTGGAGCTATTGGTTAGGGTTATTGTTTGAGAGATTGAGAGCTTTGTTGGTGAGATTAGTTGGTTTGTTTTGAGTGATTTGTACTCTCAGTTTGTACTCTCATTCTCTATTAGTGAAAACCTATCCCCTTCTTACCTCGTGAACGTAGGCAACTTGCCGAACCACGTAAAATTGGTTGTTTGTATTTATGCTGTTATTTTGGATTGTTTGGCTTTCTCTCTCGGCGTTTGGTTTGGTTCCTCGAAGCACAATGATTGGTGGCTTCCGCGCACAACAAGTGGTATTAGAGCACAACAAGTGGTATCAGAGCTTGGGCTACGCTTGGGCTACGCTTGGGCTAGTTAGAGGAGTAGATCACTTTGAAAGTTCGTCTAGGGCTTCAGTTGGTGATAAATGTGAGATTTTTACTATTGTGGATCTTGTCTACCGTCGTATGGGGTGAGATCTTTTGGAGGCCCTTGTTAGGGTTTCAGTTGGAGGTAAAAATCTCTTTGTTTCAGTTTGGATCTATTTTTTGTTTGTTCCGCATTGGTTTGTTGGTGCTTTGAGAAAGATGACTAAGAAAGAAGGAATTTTGAGGCTGAGATATTTGATTGTTGATGCCGTGCATGGATTGTTGAGGAGTGTCTTGACCTACAGATTGAAGTCCTGTGAGCACATTGGTATGAGCAAGAAGACCGAGGTGGAGTTTGACACTTGTATTCACCGAGCGAAGGTCTTCTAGGTGGTGTTCATTTAGGCATTCGGGGGCCTTCCAAGGAGGCATCATTGGGAGGTAATCGGTATTTGGTTTCCTATGTTGAAGACTGTTCTAGGCATTTGTGGGTTGCAAACAAGTCCCGTTGGTATGAAGTCCTAGTAGTCAACAACAGATGGAGAAAGTGTATTAGCAGAAAGGTAACATGTTGTTCTGTTTTTGGTAAAGGTTCTTTTCTGCGTTTGTGCTGAGCTCATGACAGTTTGAGATAATTCATTGGAGAGGAAACATTGGGGCGACGAGATGAGATGACAGTTTTGATGGGTTATTCCTTACTGGAGGAGGATCGACGTTTGATGTCGAGCATTAGTTTTGGTGTTCGGACTTCGACATATTTGGGTCATCTTAGTCATAGGTTGTCGACTACTGCGTTTAGAGATTTTGGATCTGGTGGAGCTGCTTTAGATTTTGGGATGTTTCGGATGTTTGGTTGCGCAGCATATGGTTACATTGAGGATGTGAGATTTGATCCGAGTGTACATTTGGGATTCAAAGGCTCGTTTGGTTATCAGTTGATGGGCTTTGATTTTGTTCTGAGCAGGTATGTCACATTTGACTCTTGACAGGTGGAGAGTGTTGATCAGATCGTTGAGATATCACAGCGGATGGAGGGTGATGCTATTCCACGTTGGGTGGAGATTATTCCACATACTCTAGATCATACTGTATCGTTTGGGATTCCAGCTGAGGTGACACAGTTTGGGGATCATGTTGATTTGGATGCAGATGATGAGTTGGTTGATTCGAGTGTAGCTGGTGGATATAGTTTGGATTTGGATATGACTGTTGGTTCACCTCAAGTGGAGGCGTTTGGTTTATTTCACTTTGGGACCATTGAGAGAGCTATCAGCCGCAGATTTATTGGTGAAGAGTTGAGAACTCTTCTATTGGATTGAGGGTCTTTAGAGGCCATTGTGGGTGAACTACATGAAGGCTTGATTTCTTGGGCAAGATGATACGTAGGCAAGTTATTTATGATACAGCCGGTTTGGTGAGTTGATACCGACATTTGGAGTTTGTTCACATTCTCATTTGGTTCCCGACTTGATGCGGATTGAGTCCGTTGTTGTGATTTTGTTTCACTTCGTACTGGAGGCAACAAGTGGGACATTTGGTTTGGTTGGTGTCAGCTCAGTTTTGGGAAAACTTCGCCGAGATGGAGAATTGTAGAAACAACGAAAACATTGGAGAAAATCAGAAAATTTGATGCAGACAGACATTTGGGTGCTTTCCGGTCGACCGTGAGCTTTGGCGTGGTCGACCGCAAACGTGCACGACTACAGAGTTTTTTTTCGGTTTTCTGGCTAGTCGACCGTGGCGTCAAGTGCGGTCGATCGCGGACCCTGTAATGCAGTTTTTGGTTTTTGCCGTTCTGTCCGGTCGATCGCGATGATTTCGGCGGTCGACCGTCAGTCGGGTTTGGGCCTGATTGCGGTTTCCTGTTCTGTTTGTGATTGCTGTTTGATATAAATAACAACCATATTTTAGGGTTTTTTTTGGAGCAGTCAAGGGTTTGTTTTGAGCACAGAAAAAAGAGATCTTTCTGGAGCTATTGGTTAGGGTTATTGTTTGAGAGATTGAGAGCTTTGTTGATGAGATTAGTTGGTTTGTTTTGAATGATTTGTAATCTCAGTTTGTACTCTCCTTCTCTATTAGTGAAAACCCATCCCCTTCTTGCCCCGTGGACGTAGGCAACTTGCCGAACCACGTAAAATTAGTTGTTTGTGTTTGTGCCGTTATTTTGGATTGTTTGGCTTTCTCTCTCGGCGTTTGGTTTGGTTCCTCGAAGCACAACGATTGGTGACTTCCGCACACAACAGTTATCAAGGCAACACGTGTAGTATGTCATCAGAATAGCCCAAGTTTAGGTCACACTTACCACATATTTGAAGGATGCTCAATCTACATTACCATATAAAATTATAACTCTCAACCCTTATCACAACTTTGGATTCACAATACCTGTTAGTTCTTTATGAAAATAACATATCAGTTTAAAATGTCGCCATTTGAGAATCATAAATTCTAGTTGTATGTTAGCGTAATTAAGTTTCGGGTTTACCGCTATTAGTTAGCACTTGTTGTTTCTTTGTGTTGTACAGCAGCTTAAGATGATGTTTGTCAATCCATTTCTTTATATTATAATTTTTGGGGATATTGTTTTCTTTCAGCTCTTGCTAGAAGAAATCTATATATGTTGACTGGTCAGGTGCTTATCAAATCCTCTTTAAATACTTTAATAATCTCTTTCTAATTTCTATTTTCGAAAGTACACCGAGGATTTAGTTTAGGCACAAGTCTGAAACGCAGTACTTGAGTCATGATATAAATATGTTTTCAGTTGAGCAGTTATTTGCAGCATATTCTGTTAAAAGTATTAGGAAGCTTGGTTGTAGGTGTTGATATGCAAAGGGTCTTCTAAGTGCAGATAACCTGGGGATGCTTGCTATAATAGATAGAGCAAAAATCTGGTTGTATACGTTTGCGTTTGTTAGAATGCATCAACAATGGATGTATGGGAAAAATATTATAGGTTCTAATGTTTGCTAGAGAACTGTATATCGATCTTCATCTAAGTTGAATGTTCATATCATTGAGGAAGATGCTGAAAGGGCCATATAAATGTTCACTTGCAGATTACTTACACTGTGACATCGCCTGAACTTGCTTTTATGGGAGACGCTGAGTCAGATGTCATTGTTGATCCATACAATAGTGACACTTTAAAAACAAAAATTCTTGTCATGGAGGTACTTACTTTATCCATCATGTATATTTTTGTTGATGGTTCTTAGCTCTTTTATCATTTCTGGATTATCTTCAGGGCTTAATGGTTCTTTCACATATTTCCCCCACTAATTTTCTTCTCCTCATTCTAATTTATGAGTGGTACGGTTTACATTACTGCTAATAGAATATTTTAACTGTGGGATTTCCGTAGGGATATGTTAGAAGAATCACGATGCCAACCACTTGACATTGTTCGGGAAAAAAATTTGATGAATTAACAGTTGATATGTGCTGGTGTATGTATGATCTTTACGATAATTAGATTTATTTATTGCTTCAGTTGAAGAGTTATATCTTGTTTAAAGATGATCTCCAAATCAACTGTACCTTTTCTTGGGGTTAATGTTTCAGTCTAATGAGGAAGATCATTCTTCTACGGTTTGATTTACCTGTCAATTGCTGTGTTTGCCAGGCCTTCGACTTGGTACATATGGGACTGTACATCTCAAATGCAAGTTGTAAGGTAGATCTCAAAATTTTGATTATAAAGTAAGCCAATATTTTACTTTCAATCTTTCATAATAAGCAACAAAATAGAATAGTATCAAACAAAAACACAAGTTATAACTAAGTAAGCAATATTCACATAAATTATAAAGACCATAGGCTAGACTACCCAGACACTTCGTCTAGGATGCCGTATCCGTGTCTAGCACTTCCCTTATCTGTGTCCGTGTTGGACACTCTCTAGACACTTTTTGAATATGTATAAACATTTATTCAGATGTTTACTCAATATATAACACATGTTTTAGGTCGTGATACACTTCTTAAACATAATCATACACTTAACCTCAAATTTGTGCAACTCATTGGACTCCAGACATGTTCGATTTAGCACATGCCTAGTTCATAAATATGATTTTAAAGGGTCGAATGGATATCTAGTTAAGAAACGAGCGGTTTTTCAATTTCTCGAACCCTAAAATAAATTTATGATTATAAACGATTTACTAATTATTAGTAAAGAAGTTATTTTTATCATTTTAATTTTTATAATTTTCATAATTTTTTGTATTTATAATTTATGTAATTTCAAATGATTAGTAAATAATAATATGATTTTTAATTAAAATTTTGTTTAATTTTTAGTTATGTATTATTAAAAATTTAAAGAAATAAAAAATTTAAAAAAATCGGGCCAGCCCGGAGCCCGGCCCGCTCAGGCCCGGGTCGGCCCATTTGGACATCTCTACCTGTACCTCAGGAGTCGAAAGATAACAATTATCTCGAACCCTTCACCAATCGAGTACTCTCGCATTAACTGCCCCGACAACATCATCATTACTCTAGCCCCCATAGTCTTTATGACTCATCGGACCCAGTTAGCACTAAGCACCTGCTGCCATTCTCACAATAAATGACCAGGTGACTCACCTCATTCAACAATCGACACATAACACATGTTTATCGACCCGGCTTCCTAGCTGGACTCGCCCCAGGTTACCTTCTTACCCCTCAAACCCACTATAAAAGGAGCGGCACTGCATCAGGTAATTTCCTCTGATTTTTTTATGTAATGGAGAACTAACTCTATTTTTTCCACTCAAGATTAATTACTGACTTGATCGTTGGAAGAACACCCGGAAAACCCAACTCCGCCATCTTACGAGTTTATTCATGTGCAGGGAAGAACAACGAGCTCCAGAACCACTCATCATAAGGAGTTAGAGGACTCTAATCATTCCACAAATCATCACACAAATTCCCTATTTGATAACTGACATCAACATCAAGTTTTCAAAGCCCCATTATCTCATCAAAGCAGACCCTTTTATCGCTGATTGGTGAGTGCCACACAGTTTTCAAATTTCAGCTGACTGGTGATGTTATTGTTTGATCAGTGCTTTAAATGCCAGTTTTAGAATTTGAAAACTTGGCACCCAAGATTTGACCACCCAAGATTTGACCTGAAGCTCCGTATTCAATTGAAATAAGGCAAGATAGGTGCCAAAAGTGTGAGGTTAGGTTTTGGGCGTGTGACGTGGATGCGCAAAATTAAGGCTTTTCGTCTTCTCTTATTTGTTTTTCGTCGTGGAGTATGTCCAGCTCAAAGTGAAATTCTACATAAAACCCCATCTTTTGGTCCATTATGATATAACGCCACGAAGTTAATGTCACATAACCCTCCTAATTTTTTGGCATGTCGTGTTTACAGGTTTTGCAGCATACCCCCTAACGGTGTAACGGGGTTTATTGATGTAACGCCCTGCCCCGGAATCCCGGAATCCCGGAATCGGTACGGTATTAGATCTGATGGACTGGCCTCACAAATCACCACATGTTTTTTCAGGACGTTTTGTCCTCACTCACGCTCCCTGGAAAACTTCCCAGGGATTACCCATCTGTGGAAGAATCAGAAAAACCAGATTTTCTGGCATAAGTCGACTTATGGTAAGTCGACTTGCCAGTGTGCACGAGTCGACTTACGATCTGTGCTGGAATTGTGAATTTTCGCTCTGCCAAGTCGACTTATAAAACCTGATAAGTCGACTTATAAAGTGTTCTCCAGTTGCTGTTTTTTCTCTGCCAAGTCGACTTACGCACTCTGTTAAGTCGACTTACGACAGGTATTTTGCATATTCAGGTTTCCTGTTTGCACTCTGATTGGGGTTTTATTTTGGTATAAAAAGGGAAACGATTTGTGAGGGTTTTACATTAGAGATTGAGGAATCTTTTGAGCATTGTGAGAGGGAGATATTGTGAGCAAGGTGAGATCTTTGGTTGAGGGTTAGTTTGAGAGAATTTGTGTGATTGTAACCCTTTGTACTCTCATTGATTTAGTGAAATCTCCCCATCCTCTCCCTGTGGACGTAGGCAAGTTGTCGAACCACGTATATCTCTGTGTTTGGATTGATTTGGCGTTATTGGTTTGATTTGTGTAAGAGTTCAACATTTCTTCTACTCGTGATCACAGGTTCGTTGTGAGTTCGTGCAAGGCTTCCGCATAGGCGCACGACACCATCCTAGAATTTCTCTAGGAAACTTAACTTTGGAGTTTCTAAGAGTTGGGTTCCCGAAAAGAAGATGCATCTTGGTGGCATGAGTATTCCAATCAAATCTATCAAATACTAATCACATCACCCTCTCAAGGGTTAGAGTATTACAATTGAAACTTCAAGAAAATAACGTTGAAAGGGGGTTAGTGGCATTTTTAAAACTCAGGGTGTTGTCTCATAATGCACCAAATGTAGGGGGTTTATGTGAAATTTGCCCTTCTTTACGTATAACTTATATATATCTCTTGCGGATACAAGGGCCTAAGCTTGATCTTCTCTCATTCTTGCCGCCGATGGACTTTAAATCCAGTCTCCCAAAAAGATATCTATGGTTCCCATTTCTTATTATTAACACCACCATCCTTCTTTCTCTGTCCACAACTTCATCAGCAGGCAACACAAGTGATTACCTTGCTCTTGTGTCCTTCAAATCTCTCATATCTGATGATCCCCTCGGAGCCTTAGCATCCTGGAACAGCACCAATCCCAATTTCTGCCAGTGGCAAGGCGTCATCTGCAACGATACCGATCACCCGCAAAGAGTAAGCGGATTAGATCTCAACTCTCTAAATCTCACCGGCTCAATACCACCCGCCATATCCAATCTCACATTCCTCACAAATCTTGACCTCTCTGCCAACAATTTCCAAGGGCTCATACCACAGGAGCTCGGTCGCCTGCTCCAGCTCCAGTATCTCAATCTGAGCTTCAATTCCCTTGGCGGCGAAGTTCCTGCTAGCTTAAGTAACTGCTCGCATCTCCGAAGAGTCGTTTTATACACTAATATGTTGGTTGGCATGATCCCGGAAGGGCTCGGTTCGCTTTCAAATCTCTTGTCAGTTAATCTCGGTGAAAATAGTCTCTCTGGGCCAATACCGGCGTCTTTTGGCAACATCTCTTCCCTAACTGACATGCTCCTCTATAATGCTGGCGTGGAGGGAAGGATTCCTGACAGTCTTGGGAAACTCAAGAAGCTCAAAATCTTTCAGGTGTCGATGAACAATTTATCAGGTGAAATCCCTTCCTCCATTTACAATCTCTCGTCACTTCAGTACTTTGTGGCAGGAAATAACAATTTGGTTGGCACTCTTCCGCGGGGCATGTTCGATGCTCTTCCAAATCTTCAGATGGTCCTTCTTTTCGATAACCGTTTTAACGGGCCTATTCCGATTTCGCTCCCTAACGCATCCAAACTGGTAGAGCTTGATTTTAAAGAGAACAGCTTTACGGGTCCGATTCCTTCGAATCTAGGAAATCTGAGGAATCTGTATTGGATGAATCTAAATGCTAATTGGCTTGAGGCTAGTCAGGCTAATGGCTGGGACTTTCTTACTTCTCTAACCAATTGCACACGTTTGGGGACATTAGGACTTAGCAACAATAGGCTCGGTGGCATACTTCCGAGCTCTATTGCGAATCTTTCATCGCATATGGACATATTATCAATAGGAGAGAATCAGATTGCTGGAAGTATTCCTGACGGAATTGGAAACCTTGCCAATTTAAGCGCGCTTCTTCTTCATGGGAACAAGTTGACAGGTGTCATTCCTTCTGAACTTGGTAGCCTTCGAAAGTTGTATGCATTGAGGTTATCAGGTAATAGTTTCAGCGGGCAAATTCCGTCTTCTTTTGGTAATCTCACCCAACTCGACCAGTTAGACCTGAGAGCTAGTGGAATTGAAGGAAGTATTCCAGTTACTTTTGGCAATTGCAGGAGTTTGATTGCATTGGATCTTTCTGAAAATAAACTGAATGGTTTCATCCCGAAAGAGCTTTTTAGCATTGTATCTTTATCTGAGTTACTGAATATATCACATAATTTCTTATCTGGTACTTTGCCCTTTGAAGTGAGTAAGATGACTCATCTATCTGCATTTGATGTTTCGAATAATCGTCTGTCAGGTGAAATTCCTAGCAGTCTTGGTGATTGTGAGAGTTTGGAATTCCTTTACATGCAAAACAACTTGTTTGACGGAACCATTTCTCAATCCATGAGCAGATTGGAAGGCCTCAGAGAGCTAGACCTTTCAAGCAATAACTTGTCAGGATCCATTCCTGGATTTCTAGGGAGATCTTCTCTAGTGTATCTTAATCTTTCCTTGAATAATTTTGAGGGTGAGGTTCCAAAAGAGGGCATATTTCTGAACGCAAGTGAAGTTTCAGTTATCGGCAATAACAAGCTTTGTGGGGGTGTCCCCCAACTGCATTTGCCTAGATGTTCTACTCAATCTTCGAGTAAACATAGCTTGTCGAAAACTCTTATAATTATCATCTCAGTTTTCGGTCTAGTTCTATTCTTGATCGTGTTACTGATTGTCTTTGTTATTCTTCACCGGAAGAAGGTTTCAAGACTGAAATACTCCTCAAATTCCTTAAAAGATTCGCAATTTATGAAAATTACCTATGCAGAATTAGCCAGAGCTACTAATCAATTCTCTTCTTCCAATTTAATCGGTGCTGGAAGCTTTGGTTCTGTGTACAAGGGAATTCTCAACGAGGGTATCGTGGCAGTGAAAGTATTGAACCTTAAGGAGAGAGGAGCATCAAAGAGTTTCATTGCTGAATGCCAGGCCTTAGGTAACATCAGACATCGTAATCTGGTAAGGATCTTGACTACTTGCTCGACAGTGGATTCTCAAGGTAATGATTTCAAATCTCTCATTCTTGAGTTTATGTCGAATGGGAGTCTAGAAGATTGGTTACATCCTGAGGTACTTGAACAAAGGAACTTGAGCCTTCTTGAGAGGTTGAATATTGCTATTGATGTGGCTTTTGCTTTGGAGTATCTTCATCATCATGCTCATAAGCCTATCGTACATTGTGATCTTAAACCTAGCAATGTTCTATTGGACGAGGATATGTGTGCCCATGTGAGTGATTTTGGCTTAGCAAGGTTTCTCAGTGATAAAGCTGCTGAGTCTGATGAATATCAAACTCTCTCTGCCGGAGTAAGAGGAACGATTGGGTACATAGCACCAGGTGAGTGTTCTTCAAATGTTGTTTTCATCTATTTTATATGTTCTTACTTTGTGGAAATTTTTTGAGAATATTCTTGGTTTAGTCTTAGTCGTCGTCAGCTTGATGGAGATATAGACATCAGGAATGGAAATTGATATGCTGGAACATGAAACCACGTTATATATGTTTTCAAATTCTGCATTGCTCCCACTGTACTAAGCATCAGTCAGTATTTTATTTTTAATACTTGGGATCCCTCATGATGTTGAGTTAAAGAGGCTATAGATTATCAAATCAAACACAGTAGCAGCTAGCTAACTTGCAAAGTGTTTCTGTAGTATTATATGTCTATATCCACAAAATACCTGTGGATTTGAATAGTATTAAGTTTAACGATGCGACTATGTGCTAGCAATCTTTGTAGTGAACAAGAAGCAAGATTTCCAAAAAAGAGTATAATCAAGATGAAATGTTGAAATGGATGAGTCACAATAAGAAATCAAAGGACGAAAAATGAGCAGTCATAAAAAGCTGAAGCTTAAGATAATTTCAATCAAGGATAGCATTAGGGGAAATTACTTAAAATGATTTGGAGATGTAGCGTCTAAAATTATTAAATCCATAAGTGATAAGGCCCACTTTTTGAAAGAGTGGCTAGCTCAGACAATAGATCAAAGTGAACACGGATTGAGGCAGTACCGAAAGATTTTGGAGAAAGAGGAGAGCCTAATCCAAAATTTTGGAACAATGGATTCATTGTTGATGTTAGCTCTTTCGGTCAATTACTTTCCTGAGGGACTGACCTCCGCTGGTAGCTTAATTCAGCCAAAACACATGACTTGGAATCAAAACTCTAAAATCCAGCATAGTTTTTTTCCTCAAAATCTTCCCTTATGACACGGATTGTTTTTGCATACGAGATTCCAAGATAACTTGCAAACTCTAATATAATAAGAAAATATAAGTTTAGAATAATTAACAAAACTATTCATGGAAAGCCTGAAAATTCTTCTTCTCTGTCTATAGCATAGTAGCAAAATTTTCCTGCGTGTAGATATGAGAGTTTGTATCTAATTACTTCAAATTGAATTACTTTATACTCATTTGATATATGAATAATGAATTACAGAATACGGAATGGGAACTCAGATATCTACTTGTGGTGATGTCTTCAGTTACGGGGTCCTTCTGCTAGAGATATTTACTGGAAAGCGACCTACTGATGCGATCTTCAAAGATGGTGTAGGACTTCACAAGTTCGTAGAAATGGCTTTTCCTGATCGATTATCGGAAGTCTTAGACCCATACATTTTATCACAAGCGAGCAAAAACGAGGCTAAAAGCTCTTCGATGGAGTATCACTGCTTGGTTTCAGTGCTTAAGGTTGGTCTGTCATGCTCAGAAGAAGATCCAAGAGCTCGAATGGACATGAGAAGCATCACCAGGGAACTGGTCGCAATTAGAGATTTGCTTCTTTGAATGAATTGCTTTACAACTTAGTTTTCCCAACGATTGCATGATACCAGCGAGTAACTTGTATGTATTGATATGATAATCACATGTATATTCTCCTTCTTATAGACGCAATGTACAGAAATAGAGAAAGAGGAAAAAATAAAAATAAAAATAAAAATACAATGGTTCACAACTTGAAATACAGCTGTTAAAAGAAGATTCAAGGGCATGTACATGAGAACTGTCGCCAGATAAATGGTTGCTGTTAGAGATTTGCTTCTTATCTTAGATTTTTGTTAATTTGGTTTGTACTCTATGAGCATGTATACGGTGATACTGTACATTATGGTAGCAAGTACGTAGTTTGTTGAATGTAAATATGAAGACTGCTAAAGGAATGTAAAAAATGTTTTCTGCATTTAAATAGGGTTTTAACATCAAAACCATATTAACTTTTACCAAAATTGATGAATACTTTTGTTTTCTTTTTTATGAATGTCACCTTTACTTGCTAACATGCTTTTTAATGTCACACCTTTTTCTGTTTTTAGCAAAAAGACTATGTGCATGTCCCGACTATTATACCATCCAACTTCCTCACATGTTTTACATGTGATACCCTATTAGCTCAAGGCCTATTAGCTCACCCCACCAAACCCAGGTAAAAGAAGGCCTATTAGCTCACCCCACCAAACCCAGGTAAAAGAAGGCACATGAATCTCATGTGCTCTTTTCTTCTTCTTCCCTAAACCCCATCTCATATCCGACATTCAAACGTGCCCTAAATCATTACTCTAGATGTTTGTTCCCTAAACCCTCTCTCCTCCTCCCCTTCTTCCCTAAACCCCGTCTTCATTCTTGCTTACTTTTCCCTAGTGTTTCTAGCGTTTTTGTTTCAATTATCGATGACTACTGAATATTCAACAGGTTCTCCTTCATATTCTCATGGAAGATCCATAGACGTCTTGTATAAATGTAAATTGATGGCTTCAATACTAACTTCAAAGATTGAAGCTAACCTAGGGAGATGATTTTTCACTCGTCATTTTCCAAGTCCTTCAATTTGTGATAAAAAATATAATTTTTTATGTGATATGATGGTGAAATTGTTGGGAGGCCAAGGGATGGTGAAATTGTTGGGAGGTTAAGGGAAATGATGAATAGACTAATTGCTAAGAAGAAGAAAATAAAGGAAGAGCTTCTAGAGATGAGCAAGAGGATAGAAGAGGATCTAAAGGAGCTTCCAAATGAAAATAATCAACTGAAAATTGAAAAGCTTTCAATCAAGAAGGAGATGCAAGAGATTAGTAGGAGAAATTCAAACTGCTTTTTTACATCCATTATAATTATTGTAATTGTGTTGCTTATGTTTGCGATTGGTGATAAACTGTAGAGTGTATTCTATGTATTGTCATGAAAATACAACTTTGAAAAAAAAAGAAAAAAAGAAAAAAAGAAAGGGAAATTAAACTGAATTCATTGTTGTGCTTGATGTTTTATGTCACCATATCATGTGTTTATGCCATTATCTAGAGAGAAACATATACAGAGTATGCAACTGATGGGAGATATGAGCACATAAACTCATAGTTAGTAGAAGATGAATACATACACTTGCAGATGATCATAAATTTACTCGTAGATAGAGGAAAAGTAAACATGCACATAAACTTAATGTTTCAACAAATACCACATTTACTTTTATATTTGCTATTGATACCAACCTTAAATATTTGAATTGATACAGATACCACCTTAACTTAAGGCAATTTTGATATGAACCACTTATTATTGTTAAGAAAGTCACAATTACCACCAAAATTTTGAAATATATACCAATCATAAAGACACATGAATCATTATTTATGGAAAATATAGCTCATATCACAAACCTGCCATAGGCAATAGGGTTATATACATCATTGTGAAGAAAATCATAAACAAACTACAGAATCTATACAAGCAACCTAAACATTTAACTATTTATATAGATACCACCTTAAATGTTAATAATGAATACATATTCCACCTTTTAAGTTCATGTATATCACAGATACAACCTACACTTTACAAAATATTACTTAAACTTTACACATGCTATCGTAAGTTTCCAAGATCATTGAGATAACCAAAATTTTCCAAAAAAAGGAAAAAAAAAAGAAAAGAAATCAAGGTTTTCATGCAGGCTTTTCTGCCCCCCCCCCCCCTTGTTGCATTTGTTGTGCTGCCTCCCTCACTTTTGCCACAGAAATGCAGACATTAACCCTACTTCTGACTCTGTTCAAATGCTCATTTGGTGTTCCTTCTACTAGAGTTGGTGAGTGACATGGTGTGTAGTCTTGTGTGGGTGAAAACGCTTGTGAGAGATTGGTGGTTGTCATGAAGGCAATCTGCAATTAAAACAAGAAGAAAAATATAATGTATCATCAAGATAGAGGCATATTAGGTACACGACTATTTATTCACCTCACCACTTTCATGAGGAGCTCCTATGTTGGATTGTTGTGGCTTCTCATGGCTAGTACCCTATACAATGAAGATAGAGACCTATTGTTGTCAAATTTAAGTTTTGAATAACAATTGGTTGAAAATACACAAAAATTAAATACATGTGAGATGTCATTAAGATAGAGGCCTATTAGATAGATGACAATATTTACTCACTTGATCACTTTCATGAGGAGCTCCTGTATTGGATTGTTGTGGCCTCTCTTGGCTAGTACCCTATATCATGAAGATAGATACATGTTGTTGTCAAATTCAAGTTTAAAAAATTGATTGAAAATACACAAAAATTAAATACATACTCCTTGATTTAACTTTTTTGTCCTACCCCCTTTCTTAGGTGGAGGTTTAGCTTAGGTTGAAGTTTTGGAAGTCTTCTTGTTGTGTCCCTTTGTTCACAATTCCTACATCTACTATGTAATTTTTTCCTTTTTCACCCTTTAGCTGGATGCAGCTTGCTCTCCAATCTCTCTTCTTCTTCTTTTCTTTGGCCTCTCTAGCATAATTCTTGTTTGAGGAGGGTGTGGTTTAGGATATACTGTCTTAGGCCATTGCTTCATGCCAGGGAGAGGTGAGATATTCATGTCATAAACTAGAATATAGGTTCTCTTTGTATATGCCTCATGCAAAAAATCTTCAACAGGCATTCCAATTTTAACCAGAGCTACAACTCCATGTATTCGAGGTAACCCACTGAGTTGCCATTTGTTACATTCACATATTTTTGTCCCCAAATCCACCATGTAGGTATCATCTTTTTTATATTTCACTTCAAATTTGTCATTTCCTACTAAGTCAGTCTTACAGTGTCTTACCTCATGCTTGAGAAATTTAATTTTTTTTAAATGCCTTTAGCACTAGAAGCCACTCCATCTTAGAAATGTTCTCTTGTTTGAGAATGAACCTCTTCATAAGAATCCTCCTAATAAACTCCATGCATGTGAGAATAGGCTTGTCCCTTGCTTGAAGAATCATTTTGTTGAATGACTCACACATATTATTCAATAAGTAATCTGGCTTGGTGCTTTCCTTGAATGCATGCAAGCTCCAATGTGAAAGACCTTCAGCCATAAGATAGTTGTAAGCACCATCATCTATGTACTTGATAATTTTCATTGCCTCATAAAAATCAATTTTTGTATAAGCACTACAAGCTCTCCACACATAGCATCTTTGAAAGACTTCCCGGTAAATTCTTGTTTAAAATTGGCATATATATGCCTACAATAAAATCTAACCTCAGCAGTAGGTACAACTATCCTCATAGCTTCAATTAAGCCTTACACAAGCAATAGAAGCTTGAATGTATTAGCATAAGGTTGGAAAATATGCAAATATGACACACATAAAGTTACAAATACATTATACAGTTTCTATGGTTAACACATTAACTTCTCATAACATATACAAATAACAGATTAACTTCTTATAACATATACAGATAACACCTTACTTCGTAATTTGTGTCATAAATAACACCTTATTGTTCCCAGTTTATATATTTACCACCTTATTCATTTTCTATCCAATACGTGTAATCCATTATACAAATTATAAGTACTTAGTTACATATAACTGTAAATAAATGATTTAATAGAAATGAAGTAAAAAAATAAGCAAATTAGAGAATTAGAAAGATCACCTTCTGCCTATCTCACATGAAAGCCCATCCATGTTGCTCCACCAGACCCAAATCAACAATTAGTTGATCAATAAATCAACACCAAGTTTCTTCATTCTCCACTTCAGCAACTACATAGACAATATGATAGATATTGCCATTGCCATCCTTTCCTATAGCACTAAAGATTTGCCCTGTAAAACCACCTTTCAGATGGCATCCATCAAGGCCAATAAGTAGCCTACAACCTTTCTTGAACCCTTCTTTACATGAAACCAAACATACATATAGTCTTTGGAAAACTGGTGATGGGTTCCTATTGATATCATCTACTCTAACCAAAGCTGTGGTCCCTAGGTTTGTCCTCTCAATTTCAGCTGCATAGTCCCATACTCTTTTGTATTGAACACTTGTGTTGATGTACTAGTGATCACACAATCAATATGTATCCATATTTGGATAAGTTTATTGAGGGTTGATGAGAGGTCACTTTCTTCCCCAACTTTATATCTGGTTTTTAAATTGGGAATCTGAGAAATCTACACATGTAGAAATTCGTGAGAGGATGAGGCTTGGTTCCCCCGTTGCACCTCCGACAATCAAGTTAGCTGATGAATTTGAGTGTGGTAAATAAAAACTATGAGCGTTCTTGTGTGTGTATAGTATGATTTGCAATTTTATAGAATTTGACTTAGAATCAGATTCTTCTCCAATAATACATGTATTTATACTTGGTATAAGGGTAGATTGGTCACTTCGGCCGATTGTAGGAAGACGGTGGCAAAGTGTGGGTTGGAAACTACGTTAGCACTTGCTTTACAGGTGTCGGCAAGAGAGTGGGGGAAGGACCACTTCAGCATTAAACGAGAAGTGAGCGGTGGCAGGACGGTGGCCCACGTGGTCCGATGAGTCATGAAGACTATCGAGGCTAAAGGCATGATGCGCCTGCCATTCATTAAATACGATGTTGACACGTTGCCAGTGAGGATAGGCTCGAGGAAGAGGTTATTCTCTAGCTTTGTTGAAAAGTAATTCCTTTCGAGTCGTCTGGCAAACGGTCGAGTGGGCTCATGGTGAGTTGTCTGTGACAAAAAGGGGTGACAAGTATCACCTTTCGAGTCAACATGAGAGGGTGTCGACACGACAGGTCGGTTGAGTTGTTGTCCCTACAAGT